GGGGGGGGGGGGGGGTAGGTACGCGTTTGCACCATTTCGCCGGGGCCCGGATTTTGCGCTGCAGAGCTTTTGCGAGGATTTCGAAGACCACGACGATGAGTAGACCGAAGATGTTGTCAAGGGAGTGAATCATAGGCATCGTTGATTGGCCCGTGCTTGCGTCTGATGGCTGGAGACGAAGCTTTTGCCAGCGTCGCCCAAAACTAACTCGCCCTCATTCCCCGGTCTCACCCCCCCCCTTCCCCCACCCATGGAATGCTGCCTGTCTCTGCACGTTCTCGATTGCCGACACCGATGACCGTGACCCAATCAGTTCGTGTACACCAACCCGATGCACAAGCACGAGAAGAAGCTGTCGCCACCCAACGAGTACGGCGACGACCTCGCAAAGCACTACGAGGGGTGAGTCTCTCTCTCTCTCTCTGTCTGCCTGTCTCTCTCTCTCTCTCTCTCTCTCTCTCTCTCTCTCTCTCTCTCTCTCTCTCTGTCTGCCTGTCTCTCTCTCTCTCTCTCTCTCTCTCTCTCTCTCTCTCTCTCTCTCTCTCTCTCTCTCTCTCTCTCTCTCTCTCTCTCTCTCTCTCTCTCTCTCTCTCTCTCTCTCTCTCTCACGGCAGAGATTGCATGCAGGATCTACTATTGATAGAGGTATATGTGTGCCCAGAAAACTCACACCGGCGCTTTTGAAAGTACAGAACAATTACTTGGTAATTCAGTGTGTGCCCGCCGAAACCACCAGCAACCGGCGCTATCCGGCCGGCACTAAACGGAGGCCTCTTCTGTTCTTATTAGCGTCCTCAAGACAGGGTGATGGTTCCGGTAGCGGAGGTGGCGGTGGAGACGGAAACCTGGTGGTTGACTCTCCCAACATCCTAGTAGTACTGGCCCCGTGATGCACTTGTCCGTGTGTTTGGTTGTGTAGCGCCTGAATTGTAGAGTGGAAACGATTGTTCCACTTGCCGACGGTGACGACGAAACCGCCGCCGTCACTGTTTAGACCAAACCGCACGGCCACGCACGCAGGCAGCAGCGGTCGGCACCCGCCTCTTCTTCCCATGTACGGCAACTACCGCAGTGAACATCCGAACCCCGTTTCAACCGCCGCCCCACGCCGTTCTCGCTTCTCGATATCTTTCAGCGAGGTGGGGGACATGTCGGACATCTCGTCGGAGCTCCCTCACAAGACGGACAACCCCCTCTTCTCGAGCAATTCGAACCGCGACGGCGGTGGTTCTTCTTCGCCGACTTCCGTCGCCGAGGCGGCCCGCGCTCGCGGCAGCAGGAGCATGAGCGGCAGCGGAAGCGGCAGCCGCAGCCGCAGCCGCAGCGGCCACCTGACGGAAAGTGACGCCACAGTTGAGGTTGACTCCTACGGCGCGAGCATGAGCGACGCTGCGTCAACGTCGCTGGCCTCTTCACAGTCAAACACGAGCGAGTCGCCGCTGATCGACCAGGCGTACTCGTCCAGCTTCGACTCCGACGTCGACCACCACGGGGGCGGAGAGGTCGCCGCCGAAGGCTCGTCGCTGGTTGGCGGCAGGAACCCGCGCGGCAGCGGCGGCGTGCTCAGCGTCACCTCGGAAACCTCGTCCAGGATGCCGTTCGGCCTGTCGCCGGTGGCCGAGAGGACCGACAGCAGGGGCGAGTCGCCGGGCCTGACCACGAACAGCAGCAGCACGACGGGCGGGGCGAGCACCGTCTACCTCGCCCGCGCCGGCGCCGACGGGCCCAGAGGCGTGCCGTGGTCCTACAGCGGCCCTGACGGCGGCGGGAGTTACTCGATGGCAAGCGCCGACGCCGCCGGCGCCGCCGGCGCGGAGGACGATGACGCCGAGAGCGTGTTCAGGCCGCCGTCACCCGGGTCGGTGTCGAGGCCGCTGCAGCCGCTGCTGGCGCAGCAGTCGCCCATGTCCTGCGTGTCGGGCTTCACCTCCAAGTCCAACTCGTTCGCCATGTCGTCCCGCTCGAGCTCAATGGCGAGCTCCTTCGCCAGCCCCAAGGCCGGCGGCGGCGCGGCCGCCGCCTCGCGGCTGCCGCCGGTGGGCCTGCGCAAGGGCATCTCGAACGAGAGCCTCAAGGTGAGCCGTGGTCGTGTTGTCGGAGATGTGTAACGTGTACGTGAGTGTGCGTGCGTTGTTGTACTATGCCGAAATACCCCGCAGTAAATCGTTCCATTCGAAGGCGCCCGTCGAAAGAGAGGCACACTCAGAGGTGTGTGTTGTGTAGAGAGAGAGACCCAACTGACGTTTTTCACGTGGATGCAGGAACACACATGAAATCACCGCTTGTTGTGTGCTCTCGCCGTTGCAGCACGGGTTCCATTGACGGCAGGCTCCTGAGACAGCTCGCGTTTTTTTTTAAATGTTGTGTGCCTTGCCTCGTTTTGGCAGAGTCCGCCAAGTAGCCCCAACACTCGCAGCTAGATATTGTTATTGTACCAGTTGGTGTTCTGTTTTCTGTTTTCTGTTTTCCTAACCAAACGCATAACGAAGTCGTCTCTTTCCACGGATACATAGAAAAAGAGTCCGGGACATTTCAGCAATGAATTAATATTGCATGTGTGTCCGACGTTTCATTGTTCTTGTTTTGTTGGTCCCGTCTTCCCCCTTCCCCCCCCCCCCGCACTGCAGGCCATCAAGATCGCCTCCGGTGGCGGCGACGCCGAACGCGAGGCCGTCCGGGAGGCCGTCCGCAGGCAGCGGCGGAAGGTGGCGCGGTCGCTGTCCCAGGAGGACCGCAGGACCGAGGCCAGCAGCGAGGGAACAGCGGCAACGGGCGAGGACGAGCTCGGAAGCCTCGGCATGGAGAAGATCCCCAGGAGTTCGGTGTCCTCGCTAAGCCCATTGGCGCGGCAGCACAATGAGTGGCGGGCGCGGTACGGGTCTTCCCAGTCGGAGCTCAAGTTTGCCGAAGGAGGGGGAGGCGGCGGCGGTGGCGGCAGCTTGGCTGCGTCGTCGCGGATGGCCAGCGGCACGAGCGATGCGCGGCTGACCAGCGCCAGCACCTTGTCGAGCTTCAACGGGGAGAGCATCGTTAGCGCCATGCCGTCAGAAGGTGCGGAAGGTTGGGCTCGCGCGGTTTTTCTCTCAGGATGTAACCTCTATCGTTTCTTGTTTTGGTGTTGCAGTCGACGCTTTGGCTCAGGGCGCTTCTGAGGTCCACACTCGAAAGAGGTGCTGACGGGTCGACAGAGCGACCTTGCATTCAATTTCACGAAACTTGCGAGGCACAGATGGAGCGCATGCACACACGCACGCACGCACACCGGAGGGTGTTTTTGCGTGTGACAGTGTTTGGCGTTCCTGTTGTCTCACGAGAACAATCAAATGTATTCTTTTCGTTGGTCTGAGTCGGATGTTGTACCGCAGTCGATTCGACAGTTTCATAAAAAGCACAACCAACCCCCTCCCAACCCTGCTCTTAAGTCCTAATACCCTCCCTTCTCTCCGCGCACAGATGCCCGCGCTCGAAGCTCAGGAGCAACCAGGGCCTCCCCGGACCCCGCGAGTGCGGCCGGCGGCGGAAGCGTTTTCGGGCAGAGTGACAACGGCTCGGACGCCTCCGCCGATGCCGCCGCCGGCCACGGCGATGCCAGCATCTCCAAGGGTCTCGCGAGTGCCCTGGACCGTCGCGTCAAGTCCGCGGCCGTCGCGCCTAGCCCGACGCACTCGAGGTCCGGCCGCGCGGGGACGGGGGCCACCAAGAGCGAGAGCACGGTCGACGAGGACGGGGACGAGTTCTACGACGCCACGTCTACTGCCGATGGCGCCGAGGGCGGCGGCGGCGGCGGCGGCGGCGGCGGCGGCGGCTACAGCGTCGAGGCGGCGGCG